TCGTCTTGTTTTGCTGATGCCACGGCCCATGACTTGAATTAGACTGGGCTGGAACTGACAACCTTCCTTCCCTCTGAGAAACTCAACTCACTGACTGATGACTTACACGCATACCCACGCACACCTCTCTTACGCCACACCACACACTCCCTCTCCCACTTCCCACGCCTCTCAATTCACACTCCAGGGCCTAGCTTCTTCTCGTCTTTCACCCGTCCTTCTTTTGATCCCACACCTACTTTCCCACACGCCTTCTCACACCCACACTCTCTCACTCTCTTCCGCTCACTCTTTTTTTTTTTTTTGCACTTGTCACTTTATCTCGTTGCACTCCCCTAGGGCCTTTTCTTTCACACTCCCCCCCAATCAAAACTTTGAATCCCACACTCCCTGCCAGATACGTACACTCTATACGGACGATTATACTTTTCAACCCATGCCTGACTATCCGTACCCGTACCTGTCCTGAGCTGCCCTTCCGCTCCCTCATCCGTGGTGACAAGGCCAGTTCCTATAAGAGAACCGTCTAATCCGGGGTTGGATTTGTCCTATTCGGATCGGTGCATTTGTATCGCACATCGAATCCACAGCAAGACCCAGCTCCAGCCCTTCCCCTGCAATAGACAACGCAAGCCAAGGCACAACGTCAAACAACTGTGCGCGCCTCTTTATTGGAGATACCCAGCATCCGTGGTTCTGGCTCTTGTACCTACAACCTACACCTCGTTGCTGCCCCCCGCTACTCATTAAATATCGTCGCCCCTCCCCGTCGCCTAGGCCAGATCGGACCAGCCCATCACATTATATATCATCTCTCATCCTCCCCAGCCTTTCTACCTTCTTGGCTATATTCGCCTCATCACTAAAGATCAACACTCGTCTTCGCCATCTTATATATACACACACAACACCTCGTCTCTTATAAACTACGATGCTGTCCATCACACCCCAGGGAGATCACCACCAGCAGTCCCTCTACCTTCCCTTTAGACCGTTGTCTTCCTCGAGCCGCCCCTGCACCGACTTGCCCTTCCTCAGCAGCCTCGCCAGCAGTATGGGTCACAGCCTTCACGTCGGCAACACCGCCTCGGTGACGCCAGCCTCGCTCAAGGACTCAGCCAGCGTTGCGCAGGCCCTCGAGATCGCCAGAGAGAGCGAAGACGGAGCCTCAGACCCGACTGTTAGCAGCATCCTGGAGAGCGCTATCAGCCAGATCTGGGCCAAGGTCGCCGCCCAGCCCGAGTCCTATGTCCTGAACCGGGACGAGTTCGCCGTCTTCAACTACTTCCAGCACCGCTTCATGGGCAACAAGATCGCCATGGCCGCACGCAAGCGCTACTGGGACAACGCCCGCGCATGAAATCCAGGCCCTCGACTTTGTTAAGGGACCATGCATGTTGGTCTCCTGCGCAACCCAATCATTGCGCGTGGCCGGGAAAGCAACTTAGCAACAAGAGCTTCATATGAAGCTCTAGCTCTGCTAGTAGCATATCCTCCCACAAACCAACCGCGAGCCTCACTTTCCCGGTCTGGCATTTCCTTCGACTTTTACATGGGAAGCATCGCATACACATAAAGGAGCTACCACACCTCGAGGAATTACACGACTTACGACTCTCATTCTGTCTTGGGAGGTACATCTCGCAGTGGACGCAGCTTTTGCCCACTTTCTCGGGGATTCGCAGCCGGCGCCCGCATATCTTCTTCCGTGGAAGAAGTAGCCGAATACCGGACATGGTATTCATTCGCCTTTGCCATAGCTTGTACTTCCAAGCAATGCATCTGATTCCGCCATACTCCGCCAGGGCCCTAGTAAGGTGTTTGCCGTACCCGAGAATCCAGTCTTGGCTGTCTGCGCGCCTCGGTCCCCTTATCCGTCCCATAATCTCATCAGCCCACCATCAAATCCACCAGACGCATATATCCGTTCTAATACCCGAAAAGCACCCACTTATCAGCTCAAATCCCTGTTCCGGGGCGTTGCAACAACGAGTGAAAAGTGGGTCGTGTCCAAGCGTCCTCTCACTCCCCTTTCCCTCCTCCAAGGCAGGGACAAAAAAGGGACCTCCACCATCTCACCAATCCCATTCCTCCCAAGAATGCTCCGCGCTCCCCAACATCCAGCGCGGCGGACGTCACAGCGCAGGCGGTAGCCCGCACCTGGCTTGGAGAGGGGAGAATGCGAAAGGCTCCGGCAGGCAACTCGGACCCGGGATCTGATCAGCAGTCCATGGGCGGGCTCAACGAGAGGACTGACGAAACAATGTCTTGAATTGACTGCAGGCATGCGAATATCTGTTGCACCATGCAACAACATACTGCTGCCTACCAGTTGGACCCGACTACCTCTGCCTCTTTGTGGCTCGCTTAACTTCTGAAGTTAGAGAGCATGCGAAGACGTTGAATTGCACGACCATCCTTCCTTTAGCGCCTCTACAGCACTGCGAGAGCACGTTTGCACAGACATCGAACGACCGCTCCGCTGTTGTATGAATGCGACGAGGACTGCAGCAACTCGTACAGCTATGATACTCTGCCATGGTCAAGCATGTCCTACCGCACAGCTGGCCTGGCAGCGGCATCTTCGCTTCGAGTTGAGACGACTTGGACTGGCGGTGTCTAAGGGACGACTCGTTGGTTTCGGATCACTGGTTGCCGATAGCCACTCAAGCCACTGGCGACATTGTATGACTTTGCTGCCTCCCTACACCCTTTTTCATTGCCATCCAAGTGTGGCTTGGCCAGCGCTCGAGGCGCCTATGTGAAGAGCCGCTAAGACGCTGCCATGACACGACAAAGTATGGTATCATTTCACTTTGCAGTGAACTTGTGCCAGTCAAGTGTCTTGGATCGGGGCACCGCGCGGGCCAGACGGATGATGGGCGACATTGTGTCAGTTTAAACTTTGGGATTATTGTCGAGAATGAGCAGCGATGTACAGATGTCTTAGTGCGGAGGGAAAGCAATCATGGGGCGATCGCCGGAGAAGAGATGGGCAAGTGTGATCTCATCACACGTTTTCGAGTTGCACTTTAGGCGCAGGCTAAATTCCTTTTTTTTATTCCATTCATGTTCATTCTTATACGCAAGCATGACCAATTGCGACATGGCATTTTTGTACTTTTCATGTATCATAGACATACTCCAGACAGGTGGCATTCTGGAAAATAGTATAAACACTGGGGAAACAATTGTGTTATTCATCCATCAATACTTGACCTAGACCAACTTTTTTTCGTGAAATATTAATGATCGTGTCTAGTGACGACGCATGCATTAATGTGGCAGTCATTACTTCAATGATACTCTGGGTTTCCCCTAATTGCGCGTATTGATTTGGAAAGACGGGTACAAATATTCAGAGTGCGGAACGGAAGGCAAGCGCATGAGGCAAGCGCATGAGGCACGAAGTAAGGTAGGCTGGAGTGGCTGCCTCAGGTCAGCTTGGATCCCGGGCTGGTTCTTGCACTCCTGCAGCGTTTAAGGTTATTCAGCGTTTTGTTTGGCTTGCATGGTCTGGCAGGTGCGGAGGGTGCGAAGGGTGCGATTTTGGTGACAGGATATGAAATCCAGCAAGGAAAGCACCTGTAATTTGTAAGACTTCTTTGCTTCCTGCCGCAAAGCAGCCACCATTTTGTTTGAGAAGGTTCAGACTTTTCTTTTCCGGCTTCTTGCCCTTCTCCCATCGGGGAGCCCATCGGGTGTCCCTACTTCCTATCCGGTGGATTTTCTTCATCTCTATTTCCCTCTCTCTCGGAAGTGGTAGAAAGCTACTGCCACAAAGTTCTGCATGAATTTCCTCATGGTTTGAGGCAAGTACCTGAGCTGAAAGAATGCAGGCGGGAAGAAACTCACGCGCAGCAAGTGAGGAAAGGTCAAAGTTAATACACATTAGACACGAACACACAGGCACACATACACACACATACATACAAACCCAACCACGCGACAACAGCCACAGCAGATTTCCCCGGGTTCGTGCTTCTTGGCTTTCTTTTGGCTCCCACTGCTTCACCAGACAGATTCCACCTTTGCTCTTCCATCTGTGATTTGCTCCCCTTCAGCTCGTCCTCCCGAAACAGCCTCGTCAAAGCATAACTCAATATCGAATGGTGGCTTCACTCTAGTGCTGTATCTTTTCCCGGATCCAGCGGCGGACCTGTCCATTACATCTACTTTAGCCAATTCCGCCAGCTTGTTGTATGTCCAGACAAAACCCTTCCTTTCGGTCCCGGTCCTTGACGCTGAATCTGTTCCTCACCGACTCCGTTTACCGCTCATTTGACCGAATTCAACATCATAGCACAACTCGCCATCTTTTTACCTTTGGACGGCGCTTCTCGTTTTGCCAATCGTCACCTACTGTGCTGAGGTTGGATCGTCTCGAGCGGCGTTTACCTCTACATTATCCGTCTCTGCCTCGGCGCCGCGCGCGGGGTGTCGGACCTATTCCACCTCATCATCTTGACACCTTGTTTACCGCCTCGGAGCCATATCATCATCTCAGTAAGCAGCAGGTAAGGTACGTCCACAAAACTTCAGAGACCAAGCCACTTGTGGTTCGACCTACAGCCCTCCCCGCTCCCTTGCCAGCCAGCCGCCCAAACCGTTATACTTCCAATAGATGCGGATCTACGTACTGTATCCCGTCTTTTCGTTTACCAAATCTCGTCTGGCGCATGGCGCCGCCTACTGCTTAGTGCCTCTCAGCTGCTTGTACAGGCGCTATTTCCTCATGTTTACCTTTGAGTGGCGTTCACCGGGTTCGCTCGCATTCCTCCCATGTGTCTCCACTCCTCCTCTCCCTGCCCGACCCTCTGGGATTTGGTGGCTTTACTCGAGGCGCCGTTTTGCTCATACCTACTGCTCCGTCACGCGGTTTCTGACACCAACCACCAGACACACACCGCGCCCAACCCAACTCAGAGACATAGGGCAGAAGGGCCTCCTCGAGGCTACAGAGTGAGGCGTCAAGCCTGAACCCTCCACAGGGCCCCACGATGCTCCCTCGGCCAGTCACTCGGGCGCTTGCCCTGTCTCTCTTTGTTCTCGTACTGAACACGGGCTACGTGGCTTCACGCAATCTGATTCCAGCGGCGGCCTTGTCAGACTATGTCACCCGCCAGCAGGGAATGATTGCCGATACTCCGGCGCCAATGGGCACTTTGCTAGATGCAGAGGGCGGCCAGCAACAGAAGCCGCTCGACTGTTTTCAAGTCGCACAGCCAGTGTTGGGTCCCAAAGGCCCCATCTACCAGGCGTTGACGGGCAGCTTTGATGATGGCAAGGGTAAATCTCCGACGACGGATCCCAAAGAGTGCAAAGTGCAGTTGATGGACCACTCTTTTGGTAACAGCTTCGACAAGCCCTTTGTTGGTAAGTGGCATGGCAATCTCATCACATCACCACCAACGCAAATCAAATGCGTGGTGGATAACCCGGAAATAGGTATCCTGACTTGGAGTTGATAGGCGACTACAAACCCCCTGGCTGCGACTTCAACCGCGTCATTGTAAACTTTACTGCCACCTCTGCAGGCCGCCAACTGGATCGGTTGGCTTTGTTGTATCTCGGCGACACGGAGGTATGGAGAACATCCACTGCGGAGCCCAGAGCGGCGCCCGGAATCACCTGGACCTATTGGAAAGACATGACCCCGTATCTTAGTCTCTGGAAGACTCCCCAGAAGATCATTTTCGACTTGCCCAACCTCATCGGTAAGCCCATGTCCCGTATCCCAGTTCCTCCAGGCTCCAAAACCAAGTGACCTGCCATCCCCGAATCCTTCCCTCGGAGACTTCGGAGTGGGGGCCAAAACGGCTAACGCGCCGCCAAGACGACAGGTTTACGGGCCCCTTCAACTGCACCCTGACCGCAACCTTTTTCAAAAGCGACGTCGAAACCGACAGTGCACCCCCGGCTGACCTCATCATCCCCATCTCGTCACGGAACGCGTCCTCCAACACAGGCAGTGCCTGGCAAGTGCCTGAACGTGAAGCCGTGAGCACTGTCAAATTTCCGCGCAATGCCAATCGAGCAGTCTTCTCCGTCTCGGCCAATGGCCAAGGAACCGAGGAATTCTGGTGGAGCAACGTCCTTCAGAGCGATGCTGCAGCTTTCAATGCCACTGTCGGTATGGCCCCGGATGGCAGCCCGTGGCGTGAGGTGCAAGTCATCATTGATGATCAGCTAGCTGGGGTTCAATGGCCGTTCCCTGTTATTTTCACTGGAGGCGTGGTCCCCAGCTTTCATCGGCCACTCGTAGGCCTTGATGCCTATGATTTACGGGAACACGAGATCGATATCTCGCCATGGCTCCCGGTTCTAAGTGATGACAAGGAGCACACATTCAAGATCAAAGTCGCCGGCCTCGCGGATGACGGGCAAAAAACTTTTGTCAATACGACAGTTGGCAACTTTTGGGTTGTGTCTGGCAAAGTTTTCCTATGGCTGGACGAAGAGGGCTCCATCACGACTGGGAAACCACCCACCGTATCAATCTCCGACCCTGATATCAAAATCACTGGTCGGGCCCTAGGAAAGAACTCTACAGGCGCCAACGAAACTCTTGCATTCAATCTGGATGTGACGAGGGTGATCTCTGTCAAAGGCGAAGTAGTCTCCAAGAAAGGAACCAAGAACCCAGAATGGACTCAAAAGTTATCGTACACCAACAATGCGACGCTAGGCCAGTTTGGTCGCAATGGCTTCAATAACTTCATCATCACCGGAACAGACGAACTGACGGGGATGGGCACATACAAATCAACATATTCGTACCCGCTGATCGTCAATCAAACTGCCAACATGTCAGCAAATGGTGATCTGAGCCTGGACGCAACACTATTCCAAGAACTGAGGTTGGAAGTCGAAGGTGTCGGTGTATACCCGACCGGGCTTGAGGCTTACAATAACCCAACCCGCAACAGGCAGGGACAAAGCAGCCAGTACAAGACTTCCAAACTCTCGACGTTCCGGAACGGAACGGCAGTCTTCAACATGCCGGCAGATATGAAGAGCAGCTCAGCATTTGGCACTACTAGGCAAGTGTTCCGGTTCAGCGGCGGCCGGGACGGGGCACGTGACGTGGAGCTATACACGAGGAGAGTGAGAGCAAGCAACAACACGGTGCTCTCCGACGAAGAAAAGTCTGCCGATGGTCGTGAGAAGGTTTTGACCGTCTCAGACCCTTTAGGAGAAGCCAATTAAGATCGGCAAATGTGCACTAGTTACAGGTGAAAGCCCTCAAGTTTCAACTTCCAAGAGGCTAGTATACGGCACTTGGGAGCAGCCGTGAGCAGCTGCTGAACAGACATGGACAAACATGGACAAACATGCCATGTCGGACTCCGGATTACACCGACCAGCTGGAATTTGGCACGGACGAAAAGACGGGAGGCTTCAGGCTACTTTAGCACTACTGAGCTGGGCCCAAGTGCACTGGCAGCACTGCTAGCCGTTTGTGGCAGAGGTGAGAAAGTGTCTCACCTTACACTGCCGTTGGCAAGTTGGCAGGGTTGTCGAATCGGGATTTGCTTTTTAAACTTTCGGGGTTAGAAGCAAACGGCGAAATAGCCGTCATCTCCCCCCCCTTCTCCCCCCCGGTCTAATGTAGTGTATTCATACGCGGTCCACCATACGAACCGATCAGCCATGTTTCGGTGCAGCTTGCTCGACCGGGGTACGGAGATAGAAAAGCAAGGCCAGAGGCGAGCCAGCCAGAGAGCCATAGGATGGCCATATGGAGCATCTAGGCAGCCAGAGACCAGCCTAAACGACAGCAAGACAGCCTGCTGCCAGGCGTGCAAGGCAGGGAGGAATAGAGTTAGCACAGCCTACAATTACATCCCTCGGGATAAGCTTTACGGCGCGCCTGCCAAATCTCGTTCCCCTTTCCCCGGCAGCGATCTACAGCGAATCTGAGTGGCAGGTTGAGTTACATCGCATCGCGCTCTGGCAGGATCAGGGAGTGCCAATACCAAGTAGTAAGGTCCTGTATGATCTCGAGACCAGCAATGTTTCCATCGTTGTTGGCCATTCGTTACGACCTTTCATGCTAATTCCACTTTCTGCCAGGGAAACTCGTTGGAGGGTGGACCGACTGTTCATCCACTGCTCATGGCACGACATTTCCTCCTTCTCGTACGGGAACCAGTCCCTGTGCGAGAGCTCGAGAGCATGTCATGCACTACGAAAGTCTAAAAAAGACCCCAAAAAATCCCACGGCAAATCACAAATCCCATGTTCTGTCTTGCCTACGGATACTATGTGATACTTTGGGGGGGGGGGGGGGGGCTTCGAGGTAACTAACTGCCTTTCCCGGACGATATGCTCCACCTGGGCAGATTTGTCGTCCATCTCATCATTCCTCCAATTCCATCCCGTGCCCGCGAGACGGCTGTACAAAACACACCAACCACAGACGATACGCAGATTACGCAGTTACGCGGCTTTCCCAGCAGCGAGGGAGGCTAGCGCGCCGCACCAGCCTCTCAGCAGCTACAGACGTTTGGACAGAAAGCCTAATGAGATTTGCAAGCGCTCGATCCAAGCCTCATACATCACTGGAAGCCCGGCAGTCTGGGAGAGAGGGACCATCCTCAAGCACGCACGCACGGCACGCCGCACGCCGCACACCTCACGGAAAAGCTCAAAGGAGGACACGGGAATGACAAACCATGGAGGGGCGTGTGGCGCTTGTGTCGGTCTGTCCCAGTTCCATTCCCACACCATCTCCTTTTTTCGCATCTCAAGTAACGAAAATAGGGGTCATCGCCGTGGAGCTCCATGTCGATCGTCGATATACACTGCAACAAAGGCACTATCAGAAAACCTTAATATTCCTTTTGCCTTGGCCACCGATTAGTGATTACCGGTGTCATTCTTCCTCACTCTCATTCACTGGCTCTCGTCTTCTCTCAGACACTACGCACACTCGCATTCATCCTTCACAAACTTTATGATCGTCAGATGTCCACTCCGTCGCAGATAAGCTTTGAGAGCATTGCTCACCATCTGAGTTGCCTTTTACTGCGTGCTTCCCCATTCAACATGGTGCCCGGGCGATCGATCACGGTAGTGCGGTCTCCAGTCGAGAATACCACGCTACGGGGCGGCCGCCTCTTGTATGGGAACGGCAAGGTCGCAGCGAGTAAGTCTTGGTGGGAGCCGCTTTGGCGGTTGGCGGTTGGCTTGGCCGCAAGCTCCAAGAGTGGGACGCGCCTCGTGTCTTCGTTCTCCATACTCGTAGTTCGCGACTATTTTTTCGCAAGAATCGGGTTGGATTCCCTTGGCGCCGTCGCCCATTAACCGACCAAGATGGCCAAGCTTTCCTCCAACATTCCATGACAGGCCTGGCTCTTGGTTGTATATGGAGTACAGTACTTGACTCACGCCCACCCCCATCACCCCCCCTCTCATCCTGATATGGTAGTACCCTAACGATAAATAGCCGAAGTTCTACCTAGAGAGCACATCAACTGCCAAGTTGAGGTGAACCGGGGGCGGTGATTGGAGGATCATCTTAAGACTTGTCGTCCCCATAGAAGATCTCATAGTTGTGACCCCATTTACACGCCCTTTCCGAGCCTATGAGCAGTCCCAGGCCCGGGGCCCGGGTGGGCAGTGAAAAGAAGGTTTAGAGCCGCCGTGGGTGCAGATGCGGGTCTCTCTTTGTGCCGTCCTTGTCCCATCGATTCGCAACGCACCGCAACGCACCGCACGGGAGCGTACCGCAGTACGTAACGCGAAGCGCGGAGGTCAGCGGAGTCCAACGTGACGTTGGCCGGGGGGAGGGAGGGAGGGGAGAATCTGTCGCGTGAAAGAAATCGTGCGTCTCGAAATGTATCGGTACGATTTCACCGTACATCACCGGGCCAGCAGGTGTATGCCAGTCAGCGAGATACAGGGCTGGGGCAGGTGATTATGGTCAGCATCACAAGGCCATACATTACGAACCCCTTCACGGCGCAGCATACGGACACATACGGGGCGCTTCGGCGAGTGTGAGGCAGCTCGGCGAGGCCAGATTGGAAGCTTGAGGCAGAGTCGAACTCAATAGGCGAAGGCCGACTTGGTACTGTCAGAGAGAGACAAGAGACACGCAGCTGGACCTGCCAGGCCGGCCACACGCCCTACAGGAGAACTGGAGAACCGGAAAGTCAAAAGTCTAACAAGTCGTGAAGTTGTAAAAGCATCTGCTGCGGTCGTGCTGGGCACTGTTCGATCGTATGTTTTGTTCTAGAAGGTTTCTTGGACTCGGGAGTTGAAGGTGGGAGTTTCTTTCTTCTTTCTTGGGAACTACTGCGATGCTGGTCCTGTCCTGCAGCTTGCAAACTGGGGTTAGGCCGGTTCGGCCATGTGCAGTTTTTTTCCTTTTTTTTTTTTTATTTTTTTTTTTTACACTTCCCTACGGAACACCCTACGGACTTGAACTAGGGGAAACCTCTAGGTTCAGGTTCCACGTTTGGAACCTGGCGATGCCGCGATACTGCGTCTGCGTGAGGCCTGCTGCTGGCCTGCTGCAGCCTGTTGATGCCATACAACACAAGCAAGGGGCGAACTCTACAAGGGACGAAGAATTCGTGGCTCTCTCTCTTCCTTGCTTCAAGGTGAGGCATCTCATGCAGAAGCATGGCCTGGGGCTGCGGGCATGCGGGGGACGACAGGCTGCTGGGTAGTAGACAAGCATGGCAGGGTACGAATAGGTTCAGGCACAGCAGCAGCGGCAGCGACAGTAGGGCCGTCGCCGCCTGATGGGCTCGATGCGAGGCACTTGGACGGACGTGATATCGGTTCAAAGCGAATCGACGAAATGAAGCGCGTCCATGCGATTGCTACTGCCGGTGTCGGTGCCGATGTGCCGATGCCAGTGTCAAAGTTGTCAACCGATCAGGACCGACGGACGCTGTTGATGCTGCTGCGGCAGGTTGCTTTGCCCATTCATTTCCTTCACAACTCTGTCTGCCCGGTGTGTTACACCATTCAGACGGTTCAGCTGTCCAAGGGGTGTGGTGATATGGCTCAACGGCACGTTTGGGTACAATACCACTAATCACCTACTGAGCTCGCCGGAAGCACAGCTTGCCATGGGCCATCGATGGGCGAACTTTGCATACTTCAGCCGCTGGGTTCATTGACCATTCCAGAGGGAGAGTACGCGAGTACATGCACACCGCAACGATTACCTAGCCATATTCTGACAGTTGTCGCAGGAGAGAACTGGCCAAAACCACACTCTGTATGAAGTTTGCTGAACAAAAGCAAAACGCTGAAAGGGGTATCGGGTAGATGGTGTGACAGCTGGCGTTTTCCTGGTCCATGCCGTCCATGGCCTAGGCCTAGGCCCAGGCCCTTTGGGTGTGTTGATGAGAAAATAGGACGGGACGGTAAAGAGGGAGAGAGTAATTTGGAGGAAAGTATGGTAGGTACGTGTACACTCCCTAGAAGGAAAGCGTACCGCAATAGCTACAGGTATCCATGACATAGCAGAAACAGAAGCACGAGGGCGGCGTATGCCCGAGGAGGGTCAGAGGGAAGAAGCAAAGAAGAGGGTGGGACGGGGCGCAGGTGGGAAAACCTTAATTACCAAAAGGGGCGCGTACATGAATTCCGCATATTTGGCGTTCTTGCTCTAGCCTCCTTTGCGGTTGGTGGGATGTAGTCATCATTGACAAGTCAAGCCACACACACACACACACATACACACACACATATACTCACTCTCGCGCAGACGTATCTCTCTACATCTGTCTCTCACATACACACACCCTCTACGAAAGTCCCCTATAGAGGAAAGGGAAGCTATCCCGTCCCTTTGGGTTCTGTAGTCACAAAGACATGTGATCGAGAGTCTAGGCATCCCACCACACCATTTTCTTACCCCAAAGCAATCACGGGAATAGTCGCCGCTGACGCGGGAAAAAACGAAGACTACTGAAATGCTAAGATACGGGCGGTTAGATATTAGATTGTGTAGTAGGCAATCCGGTGTCGTCGACAACGACGACGACGACGACGACGAACCTCCCACACGCCTCCTTCTTCTTCCCCGGTGTCTGGTGATCTAGCGTTGCACCACCTAAACAAGGCGTATCGCTTATCGCGTGGCATCGTTCACGCCGTTCACGTCTACTTTGCGGATGCTCCTTTTCCCATTCCTCACTATGCTTTTCCGTCCACCTTTTCGGCTTACAAGTTACAACTCTCTT